GGGCAGCTGCCAAGGCTCCTCGTGGTGCAGACAGCTGCCTGCCGTCCCGCAACCCACCTCCCTCTGACCTCTCCATGGCTGTCAGCCAGCCAGAACCACCCGTCCCCAGCTACACCGCCTGCGTCCGCGCTGGTGCTCACAGAGCAGTCGCCTCCTGCCCACGCAGCTCTTGCGGGCTGTTGTCACCTGCCTTGGGGCAGCGGGCGCAGGCAGAGCACTGGGTGACAATGGCGCCTGAGGCTCAGGGTCAGCTCCTGAGGGTCTGGGGGGAAAACAAGTTGCTTTTGCACCTCAGCACGGATCATTTCTGGGTGTCAGAGAGAAGCTGTGTGTGTACCGCTAGCCTGTCACTCTCGCAAGGTGGCTTTGTCTCCCAGAGGACAGTGGAGTGCCACACTGCCCCAGGAGCGGGGAGTCTGCAGCATCCAGGTGAGGTGGCACCCCTCACCCCTGCTCCTCTGCCCCAAAGCCTCTCCTCTGAAGACGAGCAGGTGACACATCCACCACCAGCTATTGCTTCACTGAATCTGGCAGGTGTCAAGTGTTCAACTTAATCTCTTGGCAGAAAGGATAAGTATTAATTTTTGCAGGTGGAAGAGGCTCCACTCCCTTTCCCCAAAGAATGACTCAAACCTCTCTTGTTGGCAGCAGCGCTCCTTTTTCACAGACAGGCTGCAGAGGTGAACTGAGAACAGAGGGATGAGAGAATAGGAAGAGGAATTTCAGAGTTATTTTCTGCATGTTTTGCTTGGCCAGAGCTCAGTTCCTCATCGTTCCCACCCAGCCCGTGGACTTCTGCTCCGTACAGGGCAAAGGAGAGTGAGGGCTTGGGGCTCCCAGAGCCCCTCCCAGCCCTGATCCTGCACCATCCCTTTGGGGGACTTGCAGCATGTTAGGGAATGGAACCCTTCAAACATCTCTTAGTCCTTGAGGATTACTTTGCTGAAGTAAACTCCCAGAGTTTTCTCAGGCATGCTGTATCCACACAGGGGAATCCCAGCCCCAGTTAGGAGGGGCTGAGATACTCACCCCGTACGGATACAGCAACACAATCAGGAGAGCACTGCAGCTCTCCTGCCTGCTCACCTCCCGGGCACAGCCAGCTCCAGCAGCGGCACTGGGGAGAAGAGCTCCTCAGGCTGGAGCCGTGGGACCACGCATCCTCTATGGCACCTTGTTCCAGACAAACACCCCCACAGTGAGAGTGAAGCAGCTTCTCCAGGCTGGCAAAGTCAAGACTGACCTCCACCTGCTCATTGAGACATCTTCACTTCCCTGTGCTTCTGCTTTCACCCTTCGGCCTTTATAAGAACCTGAAGCATTATGACCTACCCCCCCGCCCAACGCCTCATGGATGCCAGCTAAGACCTGATGGAGAGTCCCTCTGGCTGCCCAGCGCAGATTTGCAATAACTGATAGATCAATAAGCAACGTCCTCTATTCATCACAGGTGGCCTGAAAGCAGGAGCATGCAAACTCCTGCCAACAGAGTGAAAGCTAACATAATTCCTTCATCTTTAAATGATCTGGCACAGCATGAAGACAGTACATGACAATAACTGATTTCTCTAAGTACCATCAACCTGGCCCAGCCTGTGGCTGGTTCTCCTTTAAGGAGACATGGTTCTCCTTTAACTTTAGTGGCACCTATAGTCTTTTCTTAGCTCAGTGACCTAGAAACTGCATTAAGATGTCAAGAAAACATGCACAATACATTGGAGCAGCCATTTCTCAAGGATCTGAAAAAAAATTATTACTCAGAGGTATGGCTTGAAGCCAGGGCATTCCTCATTCAGCTGTCAGAGGTATAAATAAATACACAGAATAAAGCTAAGCCCAGCTTAAAAATACATTGTTCCTATGTCATTGCTCAGTTAAAATCCACATGCTCTATTCTGATCCCAGTGACATCAGTGGGTACAGTCCCTTAAAGTGTAAGCCCAATGATCAAGTGATAAAGTATTATCCTCTAA